CCATTTAGTGTGTAAGTTGCTTGTGCATTCTTAACCCCGAAGTGCATAACTTTGCATTTCTCTATGTTAAATTTCATCTGCCATTTTAGTGCCCAGTCCCCCAATCTATACAAATCTCTCTGCACCAAAGCAATTTCCTGCTCACATTTTATTACTTTACAAAGTTTTGTGTCATCTGCAAACACTGATACATGGCTTTCCATGCCTATTTCAAGATCATTTATAAATATGTTAAATAGAAGTGTGTCCCAAAACAGAACCCTGAGGGACACCACTTACCACTTTTGTCCAGCCTGAAAATTTACCATTAATTACAACTCGTTGTACTCTATCCTTAAGCCAATGCCTTGGCAAAATCCAAGTAGATCACATCCACTGCAACACCCTGATCTATACTTCTACTTACTTCTTCGTAGAATGCAATTAGGTTAGTTTGACATGACCTATGTTTCATAAAGCCATGCTGATTATTGCTAATAGCAAAGTTCTTCCCAATGAATTCCTGAATATTATCCCTTAATAGCCCTTCAAATATTTTCACAGTTACAGAAGTTAAGATCACAGGTCTATAATTTCCAGGCAAGGATTTTGAACTCTTTTTAAATATAGGAACAACATCTGCCTTCCTCCAATCCTCCGGTACAACACCTGAAACAAAAGAATCTTGAAAAATTAAATACAGAGGTTCACTTATTTCCCCACTTAGCTCCTTAAGTACTCGTGGGTGAATAACGTCAGGCCCCGGAGCTTTATTTACATTAATTTTCTTTAATAGCTATAGCACCTTGTCTCGAGTTATCCAATCACAAGTTATTTGCAAGTTTTTTGCAGCAATCATTTGCATATCTCTTGCCATAGGATCCTCATTAATATATACTGAAGAAAAATAGTTATTTAAAATTTCTGCTTTTTCCTGGTCTTCATTAGCTAATAAACCCAACTCTGTTTCAAGTGTACCTACACTTTCATTTTTTGTTTTTTTAGAATTGATACACTTGAAAAAAATGTTGGGGTTGGTTTTGCATTCTTTAGCTATCAATTTCTCATTTTCTAGTTTAGCCACTTTAATTGCCTTTTTGCAAGCGTTACTGGCTTCCTTATATCTTAAATAGGATGCCTTTGATTTGTCTGATTTAAATGCTTTAAATGCCCTTTTCTTATTTTTAATCTCTTGTTTTACTTCTCTACTAAGCCACATTGGTTTTAATTTGTTTCTTTTATATTTATTACCCAATGGTACTTACTGAGAAATGTACCTTTCTAATATTTGCTTGAATAGTTTCCATTTATTCTCAGCGTTTTTATCACTAAGGAGTTTATACCAGTCGATATGTTGTAGATCTTATTGAAATTGGCTTTTTTAAAATTATATGTTTTAGTATACCCCACTTGCTTTTGCTTTTTTTGAGTTTATTTCAAAATTTACCATATTGTGATCACTATTTCCCAAAAAAATCCCCTACTTGAATGTTGGTTAAAAGATCAACATTGTTTGTTATAACGAGATCCAGACAAGCATCCTTTCTAGTTGGTGCTTGTACCAGTTGTGACATAAAGGTGTCATTTAACACATTCAAAAACCTGATGCCCCTTGCTAAAGTACTAGTCTCTCCTTCCCAATTTATGTCTGGATAATTAAAATCTCCAATAATTAACGTGTTACCTTGATTTGCAGCTTTCCCAATTTGCTCTAACAGCTGTTCTTCCTCAATAATATTTACATTTGGTGGTTTATAACATATCCCAACCAATAATTGATTTCCCTTTGTTTGTCCCAAGCAGATATCTACCCATAAAGCCTCCACCTTTTCCTCGTCACACTCCACATGCCTAAGATTTGACTTTAACTCATGGTTGACATATAAACATACCCCACCACCCTTCTTGTTTTTGCTATCCTTGCTAAATAACGTGTACCCATTTAAATTAACTGCCCAGTCATGTGTCTTATCCCACCATGTTTCTGTTATGCCTATTATATCATATTGTTTAGTGTATGCTATTGCCTCTAGTTCCTCCATTTTGTTATATAGGCTCCTTGCATTAGTAAGCATACATTTAATATTATCATGAGTCTTTTGTACTTTTTGTGAATTATCAATATTACATACCTCCTCTGTTCTGAGTTTTCCCCTCTCCACATCTCCATCCCCTTTGTTCTGAGCTAAAGCCCATCTCCTTTCCATCCTATCTCCATTTTCTAGATTGCTTTGACCCTCCCCCCCACCACTAGTTTAAAATCTCCTCCAACCTTCTAGCCATCCTATCCCCGAGCACAACAGACCCTCTTCCGTTTAGGTGCAATCCATCATGACTTTTTCTTTTGTACAGTTAATTTAAAAAAGTGGACAGGGCATAACCAATTAATACAAATGAAGCATGTTTTGTATCGGACGAAGGGCATGGGACAATGCATTAATGAACAGCAGAATCAGACGGTATATGTCCCAGTTAAGATCTTGATATTGTTAACCACCTTTGTTTAACCAGACATGCTTTGTACCGGAAGCGGCTGCAGCTTTGCCCGGGCGGTGCGTCCATGAGGGCGGACCGCACCGCCCGGGCACAGCATGAGGAGAGGGGCTGACAGGAGGGAAGCGCTGAGCACACAGCGCTCCCTCCTGTCACTCCCTCTCTGTAGTGTGGCCGAGCCCAGTATAGTCCGCGGGAACAAGGAGCATCTGTCTCCTGTACCCGGCCGGACTAACAGGAAGTGCACACTGAGTGTGCACTTCCTGTTAGTCCAGCCGGGTACAGGAGACAGATGATCCCTGTACTGGCGGACCATCATGATGCAGGGCTCGGCCACGCTACAACAAAGGTAGGGGGGAGGAGAAAGAAATTGAGAGGGAAGGGGGGAGAAGAAATGGGGAGGGTGGGAGAAGAAGAAATTGGCAGGGGAGGGGGGAGAAGAAGAAATTGGTAGGGGAGGGGGGAGAAGAAGAAATGGGGAGGGGAGGGGGGGAGAAGAAGAAATTGGTAGGGGAGGGGGAGAAAATGGGAGGAGGGTGGGAGAAGAAAGAAATTAGCAGGAGGGAAAATGGGAGGGTGGGAGAAAAAGAAATTGGTAGGGGGAGGAGAAGAAATGGGGGAGGGTGGGAGAAGAAATTGGCAGGGGAGGGAGAAATGGGGGAGGGTGGGAGAAAGAAATTGGCAGGGGAGAAGAAATGGGGAGGGTGGGAGAAGAAGAAATTGGTAGGTGAGGGGGGAGAAGAAATGGGGAGGGAGAAGAAGAAGAAATTGGTAGGGAAGGGAGGAGAAGAAGAAATTGGTAGGGGAGGGTGGAGAAGAAATGGGGAGGAGGGAGAAGAAGAAATTGTCAGGGGAGGGGAGAAGAAGAAATTAGGAAGGGGAGGGGGAGAAGAGAAGTAGGAGGGAGGGGAGAAGAAAGAATTGGTAGGGGAGGGAAGAAGACAGGGAGTGGTAGGGGAGGGGGGAGAAGAAGAAATTGACAGGGGGGAGAAGAAGAAATTGGTGGGGGGGAGAAGAAATTGACAGGGGGTGAGAGTTACAGGGGAGGGAGGGGCAATGAGAGTGGGAAGGGGGAGGGGAGAAGAGAGTGACAAGGGAGAGGGGGGAGAAGAGAGTGACAAGGGAGGGGGGAGAGATTGACATCCATCACACACACATGCAATGCACCCCTTGCACACAGAAAAACACACAACGCATTACATACACAGACACACACACACACACACACAAACAATGCAACCCTTACACACAATGCATCCCTTACACACACAGAAACACACAATGCATTCCTTACACACACTCAATGCACCCCTTACACACACTCAATGCACCCCTTACACATGCACATACTGCATCCTGTACATACACAGAAACACACCTTGCAGCCCTTACACATACAAACACAGATTCACACAATGCATTCCTTACACACATATCAGGACATCCCCTACACACTCCACCCCTGTGAACAAACTCATTGGTGGAACATGAAGGTGGACCCTGGGACCCAGACCTTGAGCTGTGTAGCGGATCACCTAGCACCCGACTGGGTACCTCCGTTGAAGGATTAACCTAAGCGGCTTCCCTGAGGACTCAAGCACTGCAGCAGACACCACGAAAAAACCACCCGAACCCGGAGGAGAAGCATATAGAATCCTCTCCAAGCATATGAATACTGTAGACAGTTGAATGAGGAACATACGAATAGGTTTACTCTCCTATGATCCAAACTGGAACAGCATACGGCCATCCTTCCCAATAAAGAGGCAACACTTCACTTTGAGGGTTAAAACAGGAACTCCCTGTACTGTCACATACAGTCTCTTTTATTCCCAATCCACAAACATAGTACAGCCCACAGGGCGTTACAAAACAACCAATCAATCCGTACAATACATGTAGCGGAGAGGCAGTATAATCCACGATATCTCCTCTGGGTAACAGGAACAACAAAGGATAATCCAGGGAATCAGCATACAATAATCCAGACAGCACTGCAGTAACCCTTCCTTCCCAAGAACTAGACGACACATAGGCTGGGAGTCAACTGACAACCTTTTAATCAGCAGGACAATTTATACAAGTCCCCATGCAAGGGGTTTCCTGAGTCCCTCCCCAGGGGCACTCCCAGAGAGGACTACATGGGGGACTTACATTACAGCATATTTCTCCCATCAGACACCGCTGCACGAGAGGGATCATCTTCCCAGAATGCACCGTTAAGTGGATTATCCCCTCGTGCAGCAGAACCGACAATTCACATAAAAATCCATAACTTGGTGAATCTACAGTGGATTTACACGAATGGACGTTCGGTAGATAGCTGGGGTCTGAGGGTATCATTCGTGAGATTACCGCTCAGATCTCAGCTAAAATAACCGAACGCCACACGAACAACACAATTCGTA